CACACACACACACACACACGTGCGCGCACACACACACACACACGCACACACACACACACACTCACACACAAACTCACACTCACATGCACCACAACCCCCCTACACCACCCCGCCTCCCATAGGACGCGTCAGAGCTGGAGGCCCTCCAGACAATCAGCCACCCACACCTGGCACGGGTGAGACGCAGCCACATCGACACGCGTCGCGTCAACCCCAGCCGCGCACGCGCCCACCCCCGCCCGCCCTGCTTCGCGCGCCCCTAGCACGGTTCCGCAGTGCGGGCGCGCATGGCGTCCATGCTGCTCCTGCTGGTGCCCTCCCGCAGGTCTACCAGTGCTTCACCAATGTCGTGGAGGTTTTTCAGGGTGAGCACACATCCAGCAAAGTGGGAGGCCCGGCCAGCCCATTACCCCCAAAGAACACACGCCCTTGAATGAATGCAGCCGACTGCCGCGTGTGGCCGCCCCTCGGTGTACTCACCGACGGCCTCACGGCGTCGCGTCGCCCCGCCGCACGGCTTGCACAGGGCCCGGCCTGGCCCCGCCCGGCAGCGGCGTGGAAGGGGGCGACGGGTCTGCACGGGTGCGATACCGCGCGATCCTGCCCGGGGAGGAGGCGCTGCTGCAGCCCTGCAACCTGGTGGTCACGGAGGTGGGGTGCTGCGCTGGGCCCCGGGGGATGCCTGCAGGCCTTGGGGACAGCCAGCCGGGTGGAAGTCAGAGGGGCCCCACACGGGGCTGTCGGCATGGCTGACGGCCGGGGTGTAAGAGGGGCTCCGCCTTGCGCGGGGCCGTTAGGTTTCTGGGAGCTTGGAGCGTGTGGGAAAAGGGCTGCCGCGGCGGGGGCCCCTCTCATGCCCCCAGAGCCGTCCTGCGGATGGATTGGGAACTGGAGCGGTCGAGCGCGTCGTGCGGCCAGTGCTGTGCCGCACCTGCACGGCATCAGACATGCCGCCGCCACCGCGCTCGTGCACCCATCTCATTCGTCCCGCAGTGGTGCGACCAGGGCAGCCTGCGCGACGCAGTGCGCCTGGGCGTCTTCCACCAGCGCGTGGCCGCGACAGAGGTCATGGGGGTCGACCTGCCCGCGGTGCTGCAGGTGGGCCCGGCTGCTGCTGCTGCTGCTGCTGCTGCTGCTGCTGCTGCTGCTGCTGCTGCTGCTGCTGCTGCTGCTGCTGCTGCTGCTGCTGCTGCTGCTGCTGCTGCTGCTGGATACGTGGGCGCTGTGCTCTTTGGTGTGCCCTCGGCAGTGGATAGGATGAGTCGCCCACTTCTGATGAGCGGGCAGGCTGGCAAAAGAAGCCGTGAGCGGCCGTGGCATGGCGAGCCCACCAAGCCACTTAAAGCCCCCGCCACCCGACCGGCCGGCGCCTGGGCCCCTTGGATCGCCGCCTCGCGGCCTCCCCACCCAATCCCTGCCGCGCCGCGCCGACCGCCGCGCCTGTCGCCCTCTGCGCTCGCGCCGCGCAGGTCCTGCTGGAGGTGGCCCGCGGCGTGGAGCACCTGCACAGCAACGGCCTGCAGCACTGCAACGTCAAGGCGCGCGAACCGGCGCGCCCCAGACCTTCACGTTGCTGTCCCCAATGCGTCGGCGCGCTCGCGCGTCGCAAGCGGCGAGGGCTAGGCTGCCCTCACTGACCGCAGCGGGGAGAGGGGTTACCGTGGCAGCGCAGAGCCCTGGCCATTTTCATGACGGCCGCTGCCGCTGCTGCGCCCTCGCCCCCTTCAGATGGACAACGTGCTGATGCAGAGCGACGCCACCGCACCCCTCGGCTTCGTCTGCAAGGTGTGTCAGGGCGCGGCAAGCACGCGCGCACTCACGCACAGCGGCCCGCACCCCGAGATGCCTCGCCGTGCGCCACCTCCATGGCTCAGGGAGAGCGACGGTCCCCCCCGTCCGGCTTCGCCCTCCGCCCCCCGACACAAACACACACACTCACGTAAACACACACATTCACACACACACACACACACACAAATAAACGCACACAACGCCGTAGTTGTTGATTGTGCTGTTGGCCTCGTCATCCCGGCGCAGGTGGCGGACTTTGGACTGCTCAAGCTAATGGGCCCGGACTACCACGCGGCCACCGGCACCATTGCGCACATCGCGCCGGAGCTGGCCATGGCCGGGATGCAGGCCTGGGCGCCAGAACCGCAGGTGGGATGAGGTTACGCCGCCCCGCGGCGCCGCGCGGGCCCCTGGCCGCAGCAGCCGGCCACCGACGATGGCTGTTGCGCGCTCCGCGAGCGCTGCAGGGCGATGCAGCGCCGCCGCCGCCCGCTCGTGTGCGCCGCCTGGACATACCATCGCCCTGACGACGCTGTTTTACCCGTCCGTGCGCGCCCGGACACCCGCGCCCCGACGCGGCTCGTTCCTCGGCTGCCCGGCCGCGCGTCCCGCCCCGCAGCTGGCTGCGGCCGCAGACGCATACGCGTTCGGGGTCCTCATGTATGAGGTGAGAGCCGCCGACCGCCCCTGGCAGACGCTCGTTGCTCCAACGCCCCCAGTGCCCCACACGCCCGCGCCTGCGCTCCTCCTTCCCCCGCCCCGTGTGCACCCTGCCTGGCGCCCCCGCACCCTGGCCCAAAACCCCCCGCGCCGCCGCTCGCCGCTCGCCGGCCCTCGCGCCGCGCAGCTTTACAGCGCGCGGCGCGCGTTTGGCGGCATGCCACACGACCAGATTTTCGACCAGGTGATATCCCGCGGCCTGCGGCCCTCGTTCCCCCGCTCGTCCCCCGCCGAGCTCGTGCGCCTGGCGGGCAGCTGCTGGGCAGCTGGCCCCCGGGAGCGGCCCGCGTTTGGGGAGGTGGTGCAGCGGCTGGAGCTGCTGCTCGCGGCGGTCAGCATCGTCGCCACCGCGCGGGCGCTGCCGGCGCAGCGCGCGGCGGCGGCGGCGGTCGCTGCGCCGGACGGCGGTGACGGGGCGTCCGACGGGGACGCGTGAGGGCGGGCGGGCGGCTTTCGCGGGTTCGCGGGGGCGGCCCGGCGGGGGCAACGTGAGACGGGGCAGGGCAGGGCTTGGCAGGGCAGGGCAGGGCAGGGCAGGGCAGGGCAGGGC